CCAGCTCCATTTCCCCTGCCGTTCACCTCCCCACCACGACACTGCCCTGGGGCAGCCCCGCACAGGACTGGCAGCGGGGGACAAACCCCTTTGGGGATCCGCTCGGTCATCTCTGCAGACAGGTGAGAGGCAGGGGCTCGGCCGGGCGGGCGCAGGCAGGGCAGGGAGGAGGTGGCTGGATGGCAGAGGTGACAGTGCTGGCATCGTCACCTGCTCTCAGCAAAGCCAGGGGAGGCGGGGGGGCTGCTGGGGCAAGGTAGGAGATTATGAGTGAGGGAGAGACGCATCAGAGGTAATAGCTCTCTGGGATCCAATTTAAGACCCTGTTCAGCCATCTGTGAAATCATAGAGTGCAGTTAACCCCACGGCCCGGAGACAGGCCAGGAAATGGATGGGTCAGCCAAAGTCCGCCGTGGAGAGCAGCGTTTTCCTCCCAAAACCAGCACCCCGGTCCTGCAGAGCCCCTGGATGCCACCAGCAGTGTTTTTTTCACCCTGCCCGCAGCCCCGTCCCCGGCGTTACCTGCGCAGGAGCAGCTTGGGGTGGTTCTTGTTTTCCAGGTTCTTCTCGATGAGGTCCGAGAGCAGGTGCTTCAGCACGTCGGTGGCGTACTCCAGCTTGCCCTGCAGCCCCGTCATGATGAGCGAGGCCATGTTGCCGCGGTCGCGCATGGAGAAGCTGCGCTGCAGCTCCAGCGTGTAGGAAGACTTTGTTGTTGATCAGCTGAGCAAAGAGCTTCAAGGCCTTCTCCACGCTCTGCTGCCCGTTCCCTTGGACCTGCGGTGGAGGAGAGCACAGCCATCAGCCAAGCACGGGAGGATGAGGGACCAGAGAGCAGCCCTGACCACTGTGGGGTCACTGGGGGTGAATGGTTTAACTGGGAACACAAGCCAGCACCCCATCTCTCAGGTCTCAGCATCCCCAACGTGGTCTGTGGCCAGTCCTGAACAAGCATCACTCCTGTCCTCCCCCAGCACCCCAGCCCACCTCTCCTTAATCACTGCTCCGAGCTGCACCCCCTGCATGCCATAAAGCTGCTGCTTGGAGGCTAACGGCCCCACAAATGACATACAGTTCTGCTTGTTCCGCACAAAAAGTGACACTCTTGTAAGTACATTAAATACTAATTTAGACTATTGCTTTATTATGGGACAAGTGTAAAAAATTAATTGAGGCTTTCAGCCGGTTGCAGATTCAAGAAATTCATTACAAGTGAAAATGATGAACTACATCAAGCAACTCTTTACCAAACATCTTGGAGACTTATGTATTGGTTTTACTAATGTTACATAATTAAGCAACTGTGTAATTGGCAACACATTTATCACTTCTGCAATTCTGTTTTTTCATGAGTAAAACAAATAAAAAGCATTCGTATTTGTTTGCTAGAGCATCAGCTAATTTGGCAATTTAAACAGCGAACATAATGCTGTGGGACTGGAAAATTCAGGGCATGGGAATGGGCTGGGAGGGGCTGGTTCAAAGCCTGCGTGAGTTTTACCAACACCACGGCCACTGCTCAGTGCTGGTGGCCCACTGGAAAGGAATTTAATTTGATGCATTAATGCTGCGTAGTGCTCGTCTGGAAAAGCAACACAGCTGTATGGAGCACAAGCAATCAGGACTCCCTCTTACATCTCTGATGAAGATTTGGATCACCTGCTGGTCTGTGCAATAGGACTTTCAGGGTTTACTGGAGCAATGCCTGTCTCTGACATCTCTGATGAAGATTTGGATCACCTGCCGGTCTGCGCAATAGGACTTTCAGGATTTACTGGAGCAATGCCTGTCTCTAAGAAGGATCGCTGAGCCTGGTACCTCTGGGCATCCTGGATGGAGGAACGGCAGCCCCACATGTTTCTCGAAGCATCATAATTATTTTTTGTCACTCTTACAGGTGACCAGGGCCCACCTGCCAGCTGACCTGATGGGCCCTTGTACATTACCAATTCTTCTATATCCTCAGTGAAAAATCTTATATCTATATTTACACATCCTGGTGGAAAAAGCAGGAGATCCAGGCGCCTGCTGGCAGCCCAGCGGGGCCGGCCATGCCGGGGCACAGCGCTGGCCCTCGCGTGGACACGCTAGCAGCAGCAGCAGCAGCAGGATGCTCCAGGCAGGATGCTCCCAGGCAGGATGCTCCGGGCAGGATGCTCCCAGGCGCACAGCCCTCCCCGGCACCCAACAGTGATTTAGGAAGACTTTCAAAGGACACTGATACCTGGCATGATTTGCTCCTGGCCTATAACAATATAAAACCCCATAAAATAAAACTAAAGCAACAGGGGGGGAGAAGAAACCAAAAAGAAACAAGCAATGTGGGATGGGGATATAACACCAGCTTCTTAGTTAAGATGAACCCAGGGCTCATCCTGCTAACCCCAGTGCATCCAATAAGATTTGGTGTGGAAGGCATGAAGGTGCTTCAGGGTTTCACGCTGGCTTCCCCGGTGGGTCAGGGACACTTTGCAGGGCTGGAGCACAGCCTGTTCCTTACCTCCAGCTCCCGCAGGACAGGGTGGTCCTCGATGCCGGGGAAAAGGACCCTCATGGCGTATGTCCGATAGTCGAGGTACGGGATCCCGGAGCGATCCAGGTCGCTGGTTAATTCATTGATGTCTGTCTGCAGCTCTGCAAATGCTATTTGGGGAGAACAGAACAGGGAGGAACTGGAACACATCCCACAGGCAGGAGGAACCGGACCAGCTCTCCAGCCCTCCTGCCTCCCATCCGGGATACACCCTGCTTCTCGTGGGTCCAAACCTCCTCCGCTCCCTCTCTCGCTCTGTGCTCGTAAAAGCTCTTTACTAAAGGCCATTAGACGAGGGGACATATTGTGACAGGCACCCCGGGGCTTGCACTGTCCTCACAACACATCGCTTAAGCAGATCAAGCCCTAATCCCATTCTCTGCTCGTTAAGCAGTGGAGCCATGTCTGCCGCCGACACACTGCTGCTGCCCTTCCTCCCTCCCGTGGTGGGGCCAGCGTGCAAACCCCCAGGGGCACGCACCCCCTCCTCGCTGCAATGATGGGGTGACCCTGGGGGGGGACAGCTGGGGACCAGAGCATGGGGCCACAGCACACAAAGGGGGCCCAGTCCCGTCGGTACTGACCCTCCTTGCACTCCAGGGCCACCCGGGACTCCAGGTTGTCCATCTGCATCTGCAGCCTCTTGAGGGTCAGGTCGTTCTCTCGAGATTTGCGCTTGTAGGCGATGAGGACGATGATGACGATGATGAGGAGCAGGCTGCCCCCGGCCGCGATGCTGACGATGGCGGGCAGGGTCAGGAGGCTGTCGGAGATGATGCTCACCGAGCCGGGGTAGAAGATGATACCACCGACACGCACCTGCAAAGCACAAGGGAGGTGACCAGCAGTTTCGGGTAAGGGTGTCAGCCTGTCCCAAAGCCCCCTCCAGCCCAGCCAGGGCATGCACCACCCAGGCTGCACAGACCCCCAAGGACGCACTGGACCGCCTCTGTCCCAGCCAAGACCGCAGCAGCTCCCATCGCCTTCAGGGTGCAGCTCACGCGAACGCAGCGATGCTTCAAGTCATGATAAATGCTCCAGCCCTTCGCTATCTGGGCTTTGTTCTTATTATCTGATGGCTCCATTTGACTTTCATTTTATAAGCTTTCAACTCCCTTTTGTAAACCGCGGACATTAGCAACCCCGTGATAATTTCACTGACAAGAAAGCAGCGCGACTAGAAGGAGAGAACAGAGGAGGGATGAGCCAGCCCCGTGCGAAGGCTCGGAGCACACACGCCGGAGGTTAACACGGGGACAGGCTCTCCTCCGACAGGCTCTGGCCGCAGATGCGAGCAGCTCTCAGCCAGGTTGAATCATGCTGTGATAATCGGGATGTTTTGGATGCTGAACTTAAAGGGAAATAAATCACAATTACAATCTCATTTGGGCTCTACTCAAGCACTTCGGCAGCTGCGTGCTCGGTCTGCGAGTGGATCAGAGGAAGCAGCGATGCCCAGAACCGAAGCGGAGGAAGACTCTGACTGTTATTCTGGACAAGGACACTGATCCAACCAGTCCAGCATTCAGATGTCCCTGGCTGCTTCTGCTCCAGGAAAAGGCAAAACCTTTCCATCCGCTAAGCAGATGAGCTCTGGCATGAGGACTGACCAGATCCCTGCAGGAGGGAGAACACAGCCCACTGGCAATGGGCTACGGAAGGAAGAGCCAACAGCACCAGAAACAGTGCTGACAGCACTGCCAGAAAGATTTTTAGATCTAGAAGGTGGTGAGTCCCAGGGAAGGAATAAGAAGTTTCTCTACACTAACCCACATCAATATTTTAAACTTCCAATTAGACAGCCATACAGATCTAAAATCCTACCAACCCCTGGACAAGAAATTGCACTTGATACCCCAGCGAGGCAGGGAGCGGGAGGAGGAAGGATGGGAAGGATGGAGGGAAGGGATGCTGCGAGCAGCGCTGGGTCTCTCACCATCACTTTGTGCTGGCCGGTGAGGTTTGGTGGCTCGCACAGCAGCTGGGTCTCGGAGACGGTGACAGCGCAGGGTGTCTCTCCGATCAGCACGGTGTAGTTGAGCTTGGCTCCTCCAGGAGCGGGCGGGCACAGGTTTCTGCCCTGGGGACAAGGGGAGAGAAGTCTGTACAAAGATGCATTTCTCCCATTTTCATCTCATTCCAGCTTCTGCAAATGACAGGACTCTGTCTGGCATAGCTCTTTCTCCAAAGGGGGTAATAAAACTCCTCTTTCAAAAATTTTTTTTTTCTGCTTCCCAGCAGGTAAAGGGTCTCCTTACCTTCAGGATGATGGGTGACCCCGGTTTCTGCTCCAGCACCCCGGTCGGGCTCAGGAGTTCAAATGTTGGGTTGGGGTAATAAATGAACTTGGTGTCGTTGTAGACCAGCAGCGACTGCACGTTGTTAAAGATGAACCCAAACTCATCCGGCCGCTCCACGGCGTCCAGGCCGGGCCGGTACTCGGTGGTGAGGGGGGGCGCGAGGCAGGCCAGCGCCGTGGCATTCACCACCTTGCAGACCTGTGGGGAAAACCAGGCTTTGAAAAATGGCAGGGAAAAACTTTATCCTGACCTGGATAATGATGTTCTGATTCCTTAAATACTCCCTGAAAAGTCCAGCAGATTCAGGTTTACCTGGAATTACTTAACCCAGCCTTGATGCACTGCAGCCATAGTTTGGGGAAGTTTTTCCCCTCTGGCCGGTGTAAAGGCACTGGTGTAGAGATGGAGAAAGAGCTTCAGAAGGAGCAGCGCTCCAAAGGAGCTAGAGGCTTGCACAGCTATCACTGAGCCTTTTTTCTGTGTTTCTTTCTTTTTTTTTCCCAGTTGCATCCTCTTTGGCAATGCTAGCCGTGCAACAGACCCAAAGCGAATACCTGGTCCCTGCTACAAACTGGGGACTAGAGGCAATTCCCGAATGCCAGCGAGGGAGAGGAACCATCATCTGACACTCGTGGGCTGGAGGGAGCACGAAGGTCACCTCCTGCCAGGCTGAGGACACCCACGGCCCCTCCAGCGCTGCGAGCAGGGAGCTGGCTGACTTAGGAGACTCTCGCCTTGTAAAGCAGCGAGAGTCCAACTGTTTGGCCTCCCTCCGTAAGTGGAAGATTTAATTTCACTCAATTTTGTGTCTTCAGTATTTTTTTTTTGGTAGCACTATAACTGCAACTGCTAGCAACAAAATTAGATGTGTTTTTAAAAAGAGCTCAGACGTAAAAGGTCTTCAGAGAAGAAGGAGGAAAGGGAATAGGAAAAGACCGCCGAGTGATTTGCCCTTTCCGAGATAATACAGATTTAGTCAGAAAGATCACTGCATAGAAACAATATTTTTCACTTTTACTCAGTCAAAATAATTTCTACAGGTCCTGGAGGTACAATTCTTATTTGAAGAACATCGCTCAGTTCCTGTTTAGCCGAGGATTCATTGCAGTTTCTCACCCTCAGACTGAAAAAATACAGATCA